CAAGCCTTTCGCTGCTCCTTTGCAGTGGGAAAACATTCCGTGGACGAAAGCGTAGCACACTGTCACTTCTCAGAACACCACGACCAGAGAGCCTGTAAAGCTGGTAACATCCATGGATTTCCTTGCAAATGCCTAAACCCCACATGCCTAGGCCCCAACCCCAAAGCCGAAACTCGTTTTGGGCGGCGCTATGCAACTCTCTCGCGCCAATCCCGAGCGCTCGTAATCTCTGTCTGTAAATCGAAAGGAGTTGGCTGTGAGTGCGTGGTGGGAGGAGATCCTCTCACTGCAAGCTAAGAATTAAAGCATCCGCTCCAACTGTGAGAAGCATGAAAAGCAGCCAAAACGTGCGTGGGCCATGACGGGACATTATGGCCGGTGAGGGGCAACTCACCCGAGTCAGTACAGCTCCAGATGCTGCCAGTTTCGCTGTGCCGCGTTCAGCCCTGCCGCCGCTAACGACATGCCATGTCCGGCCAGTCGCGTGCCAAACCGAGCATACCCCTACAGTAAAATACTTGGAGTTGCAGAAAGCCGGTGTTTCAGTGATGAGGGAGGGAGAACAAGAAACGACGTCAGAAGGTCTAGTGTAGACCCCATGTCAGCCCCCACCGAAAGGCCATCATGAGCCGGCCGTGTTCTTTGGTTCGTCATCGTCAAGCATGCCTCTCAAAGGCCGCACATCGCGCCCGGTCTCCCATGCGGAAGGGCAGAGAGACGCTGGCTGTGAGTTGAGCACCACAGTTTCTGAAAAAAAAGGGATGAGATGTCATGCAAACCTCCTGCCAAGACCTACCCCTAAACCCTAAAACCCTAAGCCTGTGATTTCCCAAGCCCCTACATGCCTAGGTGCCAAAACGTTCGGCATCCAGGATTCCGAAATGCATCCTTACATAGGCCCTAATCTAGTGTTCCTTCAACCCGAAACACCAATGGCTGACTTCAGAGATTCTAGGCACTAGCTTGTGGGACTCTGCCGTACTCGGACTCTGAACCCATAGGTTGAACCGACTACAACCTCAGCCCTAAAGTACTAGCTTCAGTTAGAGCCCTTTGTAACAGCCTTTGTAGTAGCCGTAGCAACCCTTTAGGAGCCTTACAAAGAGTCCTCACACCAGCGCCTCCAAGGGGATCTCGTAGCACGGACTGCAGAAGGACGATGTTAGTGACCTGAGGAAGATTAGGCTTTAGGCCTAAACCCTAAACCCTAAACCCTATAGGGCTTTAGGGTAGGAATCAAGCCACGGCCGAAAACCCTGAGAGTCCATGTGCCCATATAGTATATACTTTCGCCCTAAAGTGCCCACAAAGAAACGATGATCAAGCCAAAGCACATAGCATTCTGTACGAGTACATGGACCGTTAGGGAACACGACTTCCGGCTTTGAGTTTGGGAGTGTGAGTCCCCTCTCTGCTCTTCTCCTCCCACTCTTTGTTTGCTTGTTGTTTCCCACCCTTTGCCGGGCCAAGGCGGTCGACGCGAAGCGTTTGCAACAATGTATGTATGCAAGCATGGATGTATGCATGTGTGAGCCTGACCAGCTTTTTGAAGCTCCATGAAAAAACTCAACTACAGGGCCCTATAGGTAGCAAAAAGTACCTGCAGTCTCCATTGTAGTTCCTTTCATGGGTTTGCCTTATTGGATCCTAAATCTGAAATGAGGTAACCAACAGCAGGAACTACGACAGGTATGTGGCAAGTCACAAGGGGAAGACTGCTGCCCCTGATATGAAGTCCTACACTCCGACACAGCCTAATACCCAAACGGCCCCAGACCCTAAGCTAATAAATTTTTCTATCCATCATCACGATGAAGCCCAGAGCCGATCTCTTCGAATCAGAGCGGCAGCAAAAATGCCCAGCAGTGCGAGGCCGCACAGAGCCACCGTCCTAGGAACGGCTTAGGTTAGACGCCGGGAGGTGTTGTGCCCTAGGACCTGCCAATGCTATATACTCCTGAAGCCTGAAATCCCAACACGCAGCCCTTTCAATAAAATGTTAGGAACACTGACATGTATGCGCATGCATATCATGCGTACCTGTGCCTACAAGGCCCTGTGTGGTGCATACCTGTCACATGTCTCTGCGATGCGATCGAAACATTAGAGCTCAGATAATACGGAGGTTTGCAGCAAATACTCACCCTTTCGGGCAGACTTGGGTCACCGGGTAGGCCGTGTGACGAGCCAGTTAGGCATTGCACTCTACACTGAGATTCCCTGTGATGCACACTGCCGGCATTTAGGGTTCCGCTTCGGAGATGCTCGCAGGCCTCCCCGAAACACACACGGGTTGAGGTGTCTGCAAGCTTAGTACTGTGCCAAATTCGACGGCAACTTTTGGACTTAAACCAAAAAGCTGCGATGTCTAGACCCACCGGGGTTGTATGCTTCGGTGTCTGGGAATGTCGCGCCTTTTTTGGCTCCAAACCCCTCAACCTGCAAGCGCAAGCCGATTCCTGGAAGGCTCCGGCCAACCCAACAGAAGCCCCACCGGATCAACTTGACCCAAGCAAAGAACTCAGCTTTTGCGGAAAAGAACCTAAACCCTAAACCCTGAACTTCGACCTTGGAAGTCCACACCTGTGGGGTCGAGGGCTTGTGGTTCTAGGACCATTGACTTCGGGAGTGGTGCAGGGCAGGGTTTAGGGTTTAAACTTATAAGGTTTGGGGCTCAGGGCCGCGACATTGGAAGTTGTCAACATGCCTCCCTAAACCCCTAAACCCAAA